ACCCACAGAAGACGTACACACCAGCTATACAACAGAGGATGGAGCTTATGGGCAAAATGGTGCCAACAACAACACCCTCCCGTTAACCCTCGGGAATACGAACCCAAGAATGTGCTACGGTTTCTAGTGGCTCACCAACATTATTCACGCCAGTACTTAAATGTGCTGAGATCATCTATTGCATCTGTTTTCAAGGTCATACACAAGGATAAACAACCATTAGCAAATCAACAACTTATTCAAAATTTTTTAACAGCCAAGAAGAAATCCGAAGTCAAACTGCCCTCTCAGCAAGAAACATCCACTTGGGACCTCGATATATTATTACAATATCTAGTTCGCCAATTTCAAGATAATAACTCACTGCCCCTCACTCAACTACAAGACAAGGTGATCCTGCTGCTTTGTACTGCGACAATGTTCCGTTCACGTTCTGATATAGGCACCTTACAACGTAGAGACGTAGAATTTACTTTCGAAAATAATAGCAGTTCCCAAAACCAAACCATGCTCGGCATGACACTGTACATTAGACAACCAAAGGAAGCTCAAACCAAAACAGCAAGACTTGAACGGCTAGATCTTGAATCTATGTGCCCAGTAAGAACGACATGGCTATTTATAACCAAGACCGAACACCTTCGACACGAGCTTCCTGAGGATCATTCGCTATTCCTGGCACACTTGATGGAACCCAGAAAACTTCGCCCACTCAATCCAATTTCAGTAGCGAATATTGTTAAGAAACACATGCAAGCTGCAGGGATAAATACGAAAGTATATGGCCCACATTCAATACGTTCAGCAAGCAGCACGAAGGCCACAGAAGTAGGCAACGAAATAGATAAGATAAAGAAGCATGCCAATTGGAGCCTGTCTACCAACACATTTGAACGGTTCTACTACAAACCGCCTCACCAACAAGCTGATAGCAAGAAGATTACAGAGTCCATTTTTTCTTTTTGTCCTGAAAATCATACCACATCCGAAGTCCGACTGAAGTCAACTGGAATTGGGTTAGGCACGTCAAGCAATAAAGATGCTCGCTCGAAGTATAGCGAGGAAGATTATAAATTAAAATTTTGGTCATATATAGTTGAAACCTTCTTTGCACACCAGCAAAATATGATATTACAATGGTAAAAAATTTAATACCGCTTTTACTACTTATTGATCCAATACTTTGTCTATTTAACAGGGGTGATACTATGACAAATCCTTGCAAATCAAAGGGCTTGAAATTCAAGTTAGATTTACATATTGTTGTTTTGAACGATAAAGAGGTGGTAGTTGATGGGATGGCGGCGGAGGTGGCGAAGACAGCGACAAAACACAAGCTATATGAAGACAAATTAAAGTCAATCTTGGCGACCAAATGCCATATCAAAAACTTCTTGGAAACAGTTCCCTATATTACAGCAGAAGATATCAAAAAACTCAAGTTCCCAATTATGCAAATCATGGGCATGAATGTTCATATTTATGTATTAAGACTTCCTTGCCGTGGGATATACGTTGTGGATAATGGGTTTAGCTTCTCATTCCCTTGTAACATGAAGTTACTAAGAACAGAGACTGAAAAGTTAATTGATGGACTTAGTTTGGTAGAAGTAAATATTAAATACATCTCAAAATCTAATAAAGGGAACAACTGAAGGCATTAATAATGTTACATTTAGGCACTGTTGGAAGATTTAAGCTTAATATATGAAACAAGTCAAATTGATCCCAATGATTCTATTAAAAGAGTTGTCGAAGGATCAGGCCGAAAAAAGAAGTTAAATATTAAAGCCTGGACGACTGAAGTATTCTACAATGATGATTATGATACTTTAATTGATGATAATGAAGAAGACGAACAAGTTGACGAGGACGTTGATGAGCAGGCTGAAGATGAGTAAAAGTTTACTTTTTTTAAGCGACTCTTACCTATGATTGATGTTTTCTTGCATAAACCTTTTTTTTTTTTTTTGATGGCTGGAGATGCGCTAATATAATAATGCGAACTATGGAAATTGATTTGAAATCGCGCAAATAGGTGCCATGAGCACTGTACTGCAATGTAAAAAGTTTTTTTTAGCTTTTTTTTTTTTAGCTTTTTTAGCTTTTTTTTCCCCTTCTTTTGATTAAACAAAATAGATGAAAAGGATAAACATTGTATTCATATTTTTATGTTTATTTATTAAAAATATCTTTGCCACATTTAATACAACAACAATAACAACCAATGAAGCCGTTGACTTGAATAGATTTACACAGTTATTATCTAGTCATTTGCTATTTGACCACTTTGATAAGGCTTATTCACAGCTATCCAAAAAGATATCAGTACAATTTAGAAGTGCCATCCATGTTAAAGTAAAAAGAATGCCCAATAGTCAAAAAGCCATTGTACCTGTGGATGTTCAAATATTAAAAAGACAATTAAAAGGAGCAGTCGGATGTAAGTTATTCCCTCCTTTTTTCAATGATATTGCTCTCATTAACGCTCCCTTTCTCATTTAGCCTTCATTGAAGACAAATTACCTTCGATATTGAGTACGAGGTATAATACGAGTAATCTACAGAGTCATTTGGATAATATAATTTACGAGTACTGCGCCGATACCATTTCAACCGATAGACGAATTATATCCGAATCATGCATTTTAGAGCATCAGCATCGATTCTTAGTAAAGATAGAGAATTACATGACACAACAAGTACAAGAAATACTATATCAAGTGAATGAATTTGATCTTCCACGACTGTTTGAAAAGACAAGAGCACAAATAAGTGGTATCCTCATCCACTTTAACCAACATATCATGGATCCACTTCATCATAGATTAGAACTAAAGCAAAAGCAGAAAGGCGACTCTAAGCAATGGATAACGGATGATATGCTACATGAATTTGTATCCATTGTCAGCCACGCAGAAGATCAAGAAGATAACAATATCCAACACTTTATAAATTTATCAAAATAAATATTTATTTGTTCTTTGAAGACTTGGACATCGAGTCAGGATGATGTACATTCAAATATAGCGTCGGCTTCGGTTTTTCTCCCGTATTCTCTTCCATGTTCTTGATATATTTTCTTGCTTTCCTAAAGTTGCCCTTTTTGCCTAATAATTCTATAAACATAGCATAATGCTTCATGCTTGGTTTGATGCCTCGCGATAGCATATCCTTGATCAATCTTTCTGCTATCGTCAGGTTTGGTCTGTTGTCAACCAAGCACGCGGATAGCAGCATCTTGTATGTTATCGTATCTCTCTCGATTGCTTTGCCATTCTCTCCCGGTAAGATCAGTCCTCTGTCATTCTTAAAGAACAGATTTGCAACATACTCAACACTACACTTTGTCAGCAGCTTGTCAATTGCCATATTGTTCAGGATGACTTGATCTGACTTTCTCAATGGCATTTCTAGCAACTTTTTGTACAATTCATTAAGCATGGAGCTTCCTTGTTCGTAATATTGAATCATGTGTCGTATTGTCGTTTGATCCGGTGTGATATTTACAAGTGCCATATGCTTCAATATCTCTAATATCTTTTCATGATTTATTGTCTTGTCTTCCAACAAGACAGTTCTCATCAGTAAATTAAAGTCAACTACATCAGGTCCTTTTGTATAATCTGCCATACTCTTGAACGCCGATTTTGCCGCCAATAAGTCACCACGTTGAATATAGCATGCCATGAGCGAAGTCAAGCCTTTGTGTCGAATAGTGGGCCCCAGGTCCTCTATCTGACTAAACGTCTGTTCAAACAGCTCAATATCTCCCGTCTTGGCAGACAAACCAAAAAAGGTACGCGCAGCCAATTTACCAAGTCGATGATCCATATTGCGTATATGCGCCGCGAGACCCTCCGCTAACTTTTTTGCCATTGGATACTCTCTAACCAAGACCATGCACCGTACCGCACGTACACGGGCCTCATATGACATATTGGGGTATACTTTTTGATATCTTTTGTAGAGTCGAAGTACGTCGGCATGATATTTATACTTTGCACAATGCACCAGGAGTTTGTCTACTGTCTGTTGGCTTAATTCGATTCCGCTTTGTGTCATCTTCTCCCACACTGATACTGAATGAACTATGTTTCGCTGATGCAATAAGGTGTCTATAAGTAAATCGGCGCACAGCTGCGCCCCTTTGGTATCTTGAATAGATATGGTGTCTCGAAGAACAACTTCGGCTGTATGCAATTCATTTGCTTGTGTGCAGGCCCGCATTATTCGTCTAAGTAATGAGTTTGATGACAGTCCAAGTTCAATTTTTTGTATATAAATGTTCCTTGCCACATATAGCTGTTTTTCACTCAGGGCTTGCATTGCAAAGTAATTTAATAAACGAGACAATAATTCCGTCTTGTCATCTCCATATTCGTCTATCAAGGATAGTAGCTTCGATCCTTTCGCGTTTCGTTTCACGTACGCTATACCATCTCCAACTTGGCCCTGGCCAAGATGACATAGAAACATGGATCGGATCGTCCTTTCAGTCAGTCCTATCGATTGTTCTTTCATATGATTCAGCCAAAACTCCATTTCCTGTAGATTTTTATTTTCTGACAATAGCTGGAAGACAGCGTCGTAGGTTCGTATACTGAGAGATAATTTTTGTTTCAGGGCAATTTCGTGTAATAAGGCGAGGCATTTATCTGTCCACTTCAATTCAGCTGCTAAACAAATCATGTATTCTGCTTCATTGAGGCCGAATGAGACCTGTTCAAATCGACCGTTTTTTAATTCTTGCAAAATGTAGAAAATTTGAGCCATGGGTCGCTTTGCAACTAGATCGTCTGAATTAACCACGAATCTCGAAATGAATTGGTCAATGTCTTGTCGTGTCAACTCGGCTAATCGTTGTGGGTCTTTTGTCTTGAGTCGCCAGTAGCTCTTCAACAGTCGTTTACGAGTCAATCGTCTTGTGATGGTTGTCTTGACAAGGGGAGAATAAGACTGCACATTGGGCTCAGAAACATATTTCTCGGGGTGGTATAATTCTTCACGAAAGTGGTCTAATAAATTCCTTTCGGCTGTCTTTTGTTGTGGTATGGTGCTCGCCCAGCGACGATAGAAAGGTGGCATACTCCTCGAAAGGCAATTTTGGCACAGTAATTTTGTAAACAGGTGATTTTGTGGCCTCCAGCCTTCTCTTTGTAATATAGACTGGAAGGACATTACAAAAGTAAGGAATACGTCTGTGACTGATGCAATGTGAGATCTCCTGTCAAATGAATTCAAATAATACAGGGTGTGGAAAAACTTTTTTTTTATTTTGTAGGAACGGAGCCCAAAATTAATTGAACCTGATAATTTAATTTTATTGGATGAAAGTGCAGGCTCCCTTCATAAGCAGGAGTTCATGTTTTTTCTACGCTCAACTGTCTATGCGCTAAGGTTTTGGTTATTTATAAGGCTAGATAACAAAGATGAATGTAGATTACATATAAAGAGATAGAGAGAGAAAGACAGATAAAGAAAGAAAAAAAAGGAGAACTCTGTTCATGAACAAAACAGGAGTACAAATGAGGCATAAACAAAACATGCCAATCAAGGAAATGAATAAAAATTTGAAAGGTATTTAAAAGAGTTTATTTAAACCTTTTTTCTTTCCTTTTTCCATCATTAATGCATACTGATAGATTTCATATGGTTCAACGGCTTTCATTAGCAAGAAGCTATTATCTGTTATTACGGTAAGGAATACTATATATTAATCAAACAATCCACAATTGAAGCCGTCGAATGGTAAGCTATAGCATAAACGACTACTTCTTACATGTACAATAATACCCTCAAAGCATCCATTCTTCTGACAGTTTCAGTGACTATACAAATATTATAAGCATGGACTGATACAATAGATGTAGAGGATTTTTACAAGGAAATATAAAGATGTTGTTCATGTGTTGGCGTATAGTCAATGTACTGGCATTTTGGAATATTTATTGAGATCTGACTTAAACAACAGATAAATAACAATAGATGCCAAAAGGCTAAAGTGGGCACGCTATGGGTACATTAGCATTGACGGATGCCCATCTCCCAAAACATAATTTCTAAACGAACAGCCTGCTCAAATGTACTACATACTTCCTTAAACCGGGTCTCTGATGAAGATATGCTATGTTCTGCCAATGCTTCAAGCTCGTCTACAATCATTAAGCATTAATACAAAACTCTTTCACTTAAGTAGCTTACCTATTCCTCTTAATACCGCTTTTTGATAGTCATCAGCGGCATATTGACAAATCCAATCCCAATAAGGGTTTCCTTCTAAAAAACAGATATAAACAATTAGCACGATGGTTGAAAAAGAGTATCTGTTGGGCACTTGCCTCGTTTTGTTGCAGGATCATTGAACAACATAAATCCAATCTCTCCATATCCAATCAAGCAAGGTGCCATAGCCGCCTTCAAGTCAAGTAAGTCGCCAGACATTCCCTTGTCCAAAACATAGCGAGTATAAGCTGCGTTATACACGCTTTCAGGAGTACTGAGTACCTCCTCCTTTGTTACACCCCATTTGGCACAGTAGTTCAAGTGCAGCTGTGACTCTTTAGCAATATGGAGTACAATAGCTGCATTTGCTTCGATGTCTATCATTGTTTTGGCTACAAATAACAATTGAGTGCATTGATCAATAAAAACAGATAGATATACAAACATTTGTAAGAGGCAAGAGCCGCTGCTCTTGCATAGTGCTGTAGATAAAGATAATCTTGCTTGAGATAGTAAACGAAGGATTCGGTAGGTAGTGTCCCATCAGCAATACCACGCACAAAGGGATGATGGATGAATTCAAACCACAGATTCTTTGGTAGCTTTTCTTTTATGGCTGTCAATAGAGTCTTGCTATATAGAATTTGAATCATCTGTGTTAACTTTCCAATACCTTTACATTCAATATGTGCTTTAAAATGCCTTTTTATTACTTTACCCTTCATATGGTGACCATCTTAAAGGATGAAAGTGGTTGATCGGCCCGCTGCCCTTACCGATTGCAGGAAGAGCTTGATTGATGGCTACTTTAACGTAGCGAATAGCGTTTGTACAAGCAATGTCGACTATAAGCTATTGTTAGTATTGTTCTCTTCGTCATTTTGTCATAGTAAACATAGTCTCTTTACCGGTGGCTCCCTTCGCTAATTCACCAGCTAAAGCTGCAGATAGTGTGCATCCAGTACCATGGGTGTTTCTGGTATCAACAAATCCATTAACGATTTCAAAGAATACATCTTTTGTGGTGTCATAAAGTACGTCAATGACTTGTTTTTTCCCATTCATGTCAAACGGCAAATGACCACCCTTTACTAGTACATATTTTGGGCCTAAGCTTGCAATACTCTTGGCTGCTGAACGCATAGCTTCAAGTGTGGAGATAGATCCAGCTGGTAAATTTAAGAGTACTTCTGCTTCAGGAACATTTGGAGTCAGAATGTAAGTTAGGGGTAATAAAGTTGTTACAAGAGCATGAATAGCATCCGCTGCTAGCAAACGAGACCCGCTCGTAGATATCATGACAGGATCAAGGACAACATATCTTGCTTGCTCTGGGAATTGTTTCAAGGTAGTAGCAACAGAATTAATGATGGCAGCTGAGGAGAGCATGCCAATCTTTATTGCGTCTGTGCCAATATCACTCAACACAGCTGTTAGCTGCTTTACCACAAATTCTGGAGGAATGTCATGGATGCCGTCAACACCTAGTGTATTTTGAGATGTTACTGAGGTAATGACTGAAGTTGCATAAACACGAAGTGATGTCAATGTTTTTATGTCTGCTTGGATGCCTGCACCTCTATAAATATATTATAAGCTCTGTTTTATACTTTGCTTATTATTGTATTACCCTCCACTGTCACTGCCTGCAATAGTCAAGACTTTAGGGATATTGGACATGCTCTTTATTACAGCTGAAAAAATGAAAAAAATACAGTCATATCGGGAGGGGGGCTATCACTGTAATGGTTCGCTCATTCAAAATAAACTTTCACTCAGATTGCCCCGAATCTAAAGGGGTGGAGTCCACGGATCAGCAGTAAAGATATACTGTATTTTTATTAATCATTAATATTAATTTATAAAATCATTTACGTAAAAATGCGACAAAGAAATATATGTTTGAATAAAACGACATCATGTCAAGAGAGAGATAATGAGTATATGTAGAAAAAGAGAGAAAAAGTATGTTAGTATTAGGACATATATCCTAATATCAGTTTTACTTATCACCAAGGTGCATTCTGGGGAGGGTAGCGATAACTATCCAGGATTGTTTAACCAAAAAAAAAAGGAACGGAGGACTGAGAGAACCCAGAGCACAAGAAGAGACAATTGGAAGAACGTTCTAGATACACGTCAGAGAGCAAAGAAGGCGAGACAAGCGAGTCAGAGCAAGGACCATAAGGACAGGCTAGTTTTAATTGGTGAATCTTTGAACACTCAGAGGGACATTTGATAACTGCTGCAAAGAAGCAACAAAAGGACTCAATTAATGTGAGTGTTTATACTTTCAAATAGGAGCAATCTACTTCATGATCATTCAAGAATATGTATTGCCAAATATAACTACGTGTTCTGATTTCATGGAAGAACCGAATAAAGAATTTAAACTTTTACAAAGAGACTAAAGAGGGTTATTCTAATATTAAGTTAATTTCAACTCCAAGATAGCCCACCTGTAAATATTACTGTCAAATGGAATAGTGAGCCATATTCTTTTTGTATTTGCTATTACTCTGATAATATTATAACGGTTTCAATACGACATCTCAATTTGGAAATACAGTATCTCCATGGATGTCAAGGCTGATACTACGAAAATATTCTTGGCAACGACGAATTTACATTTCGTACAGCATGAATTTTGTTCTCATCACTGGGTGCATTTATTTTCGATCACAGGCGAATTTACTTTTCGGAAAGACATTTATTTTTTGATGATCCCCTCCAGAATAACCAGTTGCCAAACATGAAGGTTCCATTGATGGCACAGTCAATGCTTTTCTGACGTCTAGAGTGAAGATTAAAAGACGTTCGCTCTTTATCTTGTGCCTTCAAAATATGCCCTTTTAATGTCATATCAACAAATAAACACTTGAAAACGCCCGTGGCGGAATGTGCAAAGAATGCCATAATAGCTTTTATGTTTAATTATTTTTTAACTTCATTGGAATAGGCCTGCGGTGTAATAAAAGAGGCCAACACTACATGCACCCAGAGGATAAGCTAATATCACAGACATTTCTTCTTCTATACATGTAAGGCTGTCCAGTTCACTTTCCAACTCTTTTACACAATGTCTACCTTTTCTGGGTTATGAGAAGCTGGATCAAGCTTCAACTGTTATTCACGTCATTGCTCCAAGGATACCAAAGTCTCCATCTTTCACTTTCATCTCGTTATACAGTCATCCTAGACCATTCTCTCTAACAAAAACCCCTTAAGATCATCGTTGTCATGTATCGAACGAAGAAGTAGCTTATGAATTGCATTAGCTCGATAAAAGTTCTTTCGAGAAGCAAGATCAAGTAAAAGATAAATGATCGTTAAAGGTTAAAATATATTTATCCGACTAAAACAATCCTCACAGGTTTGGAAGCTTCCTTTAATAAGAGCGAGGACAAGTTTTGATTCCGGGTAATCTGATTGAAAGTTTATTTTGAATGAAGTGTTTTCCAAAGAGTTGAACATAGTTTATCTTCCGCCCATCATAGCCTTAAATTCTTCAAAACTTATTTTACCATCTCCATTACTATCGGCTTCCTTGATCATGGCATCTAATTCTTCTTCTGTTAAAGTCTCATTCAGTGATGACATAACTTTGTGTAGTTCTTCACGATCAATTACACCATTTCCATCTGCATCAAAAACTCTGTGATGTGACATTTGATTTGTATTGAGAATGTCTGTGTGTACGTGTATACATGTATGTATTTATGTCTGTATGTGATATAACTTACTTGAATGCTTCTTGAAGATCATCGGTATCATGGTCACTCTTCAAGTTTTTGACAAGGCCGAGGAATTCGTTAAAATCTATTTGACCATTTCCATCAGCATCAACATCGTTGACCTGGTTACATCATTATTAACAAGCCGACTTTTTTCCTATTATCCTAAACACAAACCATATCCTGAAGTTCAGATTCACTAGGATTCATACCAAATGAACGAAGAACGACACCAAGTTCGTTGGCACTGATGCTACCGTCACCATTTTTATCAAATAATTGAAAGGCTTCACGATATTCAGCAATTTGTTCTTGTGAAAGTTGATCACTCTATAAGAACCCTTGCTATTTTACAAAGATGCAAAATCTTCTCAAAAAGAACCCTTACCATTTTATATCACTTTCTATAAAAAAAAGAGAGAGAAAGAGAAAGAGAGAGAAAAAGAAAGGGGAAAAAGAGAGAGAGAGAGTAAAAATTTTCAATCGTCTCATTATTATTATTACTGCTTAATTTTTCCATTTCAAGTGTTTAAAATGGAAGCCAATTAAAATGGATTTGTAGAACAAAGTATCAAAACATTTATGCAATTTGATCTTTCTAATATATGACAACCCTTTTTTTTTATAGTCATACTCTATCAATACCATCTTGCTTCTAGCTTCACTTTCCCTTTAGTCGTTCTACTCTCGTTAACCTCAGCCAAATACTAATGTGATACCAATTCCCTGAGCCGCACTTCTTTCAATTTCAGCCCATCAACCTGATCTCTGACAGAGAAAAAAGACGATTGCTTTTTCTAGATGAGCTTCCCCAAAAAAGAAAATCTCGTTACTCCCTTTTTTGACTTGACCACAAACTACTTTTGGTTAAATGTAATAGGAGCATAACAATGCATCTAAGCAGATTGTTTATTTAAACAGGTGTCAAATTGATTAACAAAGCGTTGAAAAAAGTAAAGTACTATTTTACTGACTTCAATAATGCTCCTATGGAGTGTCTTCACGTCGTTAAACTTAGTTTGCTTGACATTGTACTTTAAAATATAAACTGGTTAAGTATATAATGAAAAGCTTAGAGTTTCAGAGGATAAGCCCGAATTGTTTAGTAGCTTCAGATATAGAAAAAGCGAATCCTTACTCCATTAAAATTATGAGTACCACTCATTCAGGCTTTTTACGATTTGCATCTACTACAATTACCATCAAATGTTCTTGCTTACGATAATTGCAAAAGGTCCATGCTTATGCGCACACTGGCTTTCATAGCCATTGCTTTAAATGGGCCTTTACAAAAGATAAATACTTTCGATAACAGGTGTATTGTCTTTATTCATCCACAATTATGTTTTCATTGTGTCTTTAAATCAATAATGATTTGTCTAACAACTATCCTCATTTGGCTAAAGACATTTTCTAATAGTTTAATTTTCGAAAGGCCATAATATATTCAAGCACCGAGACATTGGTTGAATAAAAAGTACTTAGAACACAGTAACTGCATAATGAGAAAGAAAGAAAAGGATCTACGGATCGGTTTTTATTTTTCTTGGTCTCCTAGCAACTTGTGTTACACAGTTGCATTTTTTAATTTTTCCACAACAGTTGTCCAACCTTGACGCTTTTGTCCCTTTTTAGCCCACCTATGAAATTGACTGTGAGCTTCAATTGAGAAAAGTTTGAACTGGGTATACACTTACAGTTCAAGCAGCCGTTCACCATTGGGGTTATTTTCTATGTGATAATTTGCGGTTGGAAGTAATGTCTCTATAACCTTATACATGAATGGCGGTTTCTTTTCACTGATTTCATCTGTCCACAATTGTTTGAGTTAGTCGTTCGATACCCGTTTATTCTTTTGTTACCTGGTAGCTTTGGGCGTATAAAATCAAATACACAATCTGGATTACGCTGGTGACGCAGTTCAATGTCACCTTCTTTTCTAAATATTAACAAACTCAATTTGCTTTTATTAAAGTATCTATATGGACTTTTATGTATTTGGTTATTGACATCTTTTTTTATCCAGCAGAAATTCTCCACGTATTTAAATCCCCATTTTGCTGTTATATTCACTACTCTTTGTATCCACTCCTTTTCTAACCAAATAAATAAGAATCCTGCTTTGACGATATCTGCTACGTTTAATGCACCCTATCATAACCTCGGTCAATTGATAAAACGAGCTTTATCTTTACAATCACTTACAAAGTCATCAATAGTTATTTTTCCTGCCACTGGTTCCTCTCCTGGTAATAAGAAGGGTGGATCCATGTATACCGCGTTGAAATCAGCCCCGTATTGTGTAAGATCGGTTGATACAATATTGTCCACTTCATAGTACCTTTATATTGAAATGAGCAATGTTTACGTATTATGCTTGACATTATTACCTCGAGCCTATTATTTCCTTTGGACATTTTGATATTGATTTTATTGAATGTGCCCATGACATAGGAATGGGCCTTGGTGGTATTTTTACATAGGTTGGTAAACTGGGGTCTACGTTACTGACTCGTTTCTTGATTGTAAAGTAGTTGCCGTTTCTATCTTGCACTTGCACTTGCATAATCTTGTATTTAGCAATAATGCTCTCTCTATCCACACCACGTCCTTTAGCCACTAACGGCTTTGGTTCTCTTATCGAGCGTATTTGTTTTCCCTTTCTGACTGGCTTTTCACCAAATTCTTCATCCCAAAAGCTTTCATCCACATAATGATATTCACTATAAACAAAAGAATTTTGATCAGTAACTGGCAAATATAATTCACAACCCTTTACTCTTCTTCGTAAAATTCATTTGTATCTCCATCCTTATATTCTATCTCCCAAAGATCCAGAGCATCCAAATCCTCAATAGTATCTCTATCGATTGTAGTGCTTTTTACAGTAAAGGCAGAAGTACGTTTGAATATTTCTTCAAGTTGTTCTTCAGTCAAATTCTTTTGCTCGTCTTCTGAGGGATTATCTACTTTCATGGCTGAGAATTCCTTTTCGATTCGTTCTAATTCTTCAAATTTCTTCATAATGGCCTCCACTGATTCTCCATCTTCGACGTACCCAACATAATGTGCAGCACTATACAGAATAAGAAAAAAGACGATCGAGAATGATTTGGTATAGTTCCTTACCTCACTTTTGTCTTTGGTGTCTGTCTTCTCTTTCTCTTTGGACGATCGCTCATTTTTTTTTTTTTTTTGAGAGGAGAAAAAAAAAAGAGGAAGCAAAAGGTACAACACGAAAAAATAAAAAGACGTGTCCATTTTGAATGGCCGCGCGACGCGTACCTTTTTTTAGTAAAAGGTTGGACATATTATGCACTCTCTTTACCTTTCTTTTTGTTATGCGTATAAACCAATTAGGTCCACATACTATCAATAGAATAGCAGCAGGAGAAGTATGTGTGCAGTCAATTAAGCATATATAAATCATAAACTTGTAAACCTGATAATCCAGCGTCCTGCTAATGTGGTTAAAGAAATTATGGAGAACAGTCTAGATGCTGACTCAAATCATATTCATATCACAATAGTAGCAGGTGGTCTTGAACTTATAAAGATCAAAGATAATGGTCATGGGATTCACGTAAGATATTGGTATTCCCCTTCTTTATATCTGATATCCTCCTTCAATTTGAAGATCTGCCTCTAGTTTGTGAACGACATGCGACAAGCAAAATCAAAGATTTTCGAGACTTGTCTTTTTTGAATACCTTTAGATTTTGTGGGGAGGTTCTTGCAAGTATATCCCATGTTGCAGATGTAACTGTTGTTTCAAAAACGGACAAAAGCCTTTGCGGATACCAGTAAGTATATACATTTTTTTTATTGTTTTTTCTGAATCAAAGTTTCGTGCATTTACATTCAGATCCATTTATAAAGATGGTAAACTTACATGCAAGCCAACGCCATGTGCAAGTAATGACGGGACTACGGTCATCGTAAGTTAAAAAGTTGTCTATTTTAATGCATAATCCACCATGTGTCTTTCCAGGTTCAAAACTTATTTCCAAATACAGTCCAAAGACGAAAATCGTTCACATTTCCACTTGAAGAATATAAGAGAATCCAAGAATGCGTTGAAAATTACGCAATGCATCATTATCAACATGGGTTTACTTTAAAACAAGTTAGTAACCTTAGCTATTCCTCATTTAGGGCACCATCACTGGTCTACATTGTGCACCTACGCCTGACCAAATAGCAAGGGTGTAAAAAGTATATGAAAAATCTATCTCGGCACATATAGAAATCCTCGAGCATACAAAAGAGGATTTTTCGCTCAAGTTGCTTTATTCGACCATTGCAACAAATTCTAGCATAGAAAAGGCTAAATCACCTATATTTATTACTGTTGTCAATAGTAAGATGCTCTAACTTCTCAATTAATAACAAAAAAAAACTCAATTATTCGAGTAGATAGACTTATAGGAAATGCTCAGATAAAGAAGAGTCTAAAGAAAGTTTATAAAGACATTGACGAAAACTATAGTCCATCATTTTTGTATGTCAGTTTACATGTTCGTCCGGACAAATTGGATGCAAACATTCATCCTACTAAAATCGAGGTAAAGTAATTCATAAATACTTGACTACATCTAATTTAAATTGCTGACGAGTATGGTTCAATTGTTACATGAAGAAGATATTGTTCAAGAGTTAAGTCGGATTTTATATGATGCTCTCAAGTCTTCTCTCTCAAAAACACAAGCACCAAAGCCTTTATACTACTGAAAGAAGTATGTTAAGACAGATATTGTTTACTTTATGTTTTAACACAGTGTAGCAATCAACACCAGATTGCTACTTCAAGATAACGAAAAATGACAACACGATCAAAAAAGAGACAGATTTCTTGCGTTTGAAACAGAAGCTGTCAAAGTGTACAAACGAACGACAAAAGATTAATGTATACAAATAAAAGCCTCTAGTTTTTCAAAAGAAGATGCCAAGTGACAGCAGCAGCAAGGGGAGTGAAAAAATTATGATAAGTTTGCTTATATCTTTTGTGCACAGTGGCTCTGATAGTGACAATATATTTGCTGATATGACAAGACGGGCTGAAAAGAAAAAAGAGGATATGGAAAACATTAAAGATTTAAAAAGTATTCAAACGCTTCGTAAAGAGATCAAAGCTTTCAAAAATAAAAGTAAGAGTTGAATCGTTGCTGATATCATTTGTACCTTGGGTCGATTCAATGATTTTAATTGCTTGTTGCTGACGAAGTGTTCCATGACAAAGTTGACTGATTTGAGTACTTCACGGCGAAATGTGAGGAAATCTACCATAGTTTTTTCGAACTTGATCAATTCAGCGGTGGATCGTGGTAACACGATATCAAAACGCGGTAGAGCAATATAGAGACCTTGATCTGATAGATGTAAGAAGAAAATCAGACAAGATGGTCTCAAAAGTTGCATGCCCCATGCTGTGCAGGCGCGCGATCCATGGCGCACCAAAGACATCATTTCATCAACGTCGTCCTTAACTTCCCAATTGAGCTTTTCCTCGCCTGTAATAATCTTGTCGCCCTTTTCACTGTTAGAACAAGCTTCAATCGAACATACATCAAATTTTAAAGCACCTTGGTGAACGACAAATCGCAAATCGATTTTGAAACCAGCCACATTTGATGCACCTGGGTAAAGTCGATGCATAAAATCGGTGGAGAATGGGAATGTAGCTTCGCCAGTTTTGATCTGTATATTGGTGCCAGTATGGAACAGCTTTCTAAACAGGGGAAGCCAAATGTACGTGACGTAGCTAGTTTCAGAGATCATAGTAGTGGGCTTGAGTTGGAGTAAATCAGATTCCTGATCCAGTAGATTCAGTATATGTTCAAAAATTTGAGAAGAAAGCATGAGGCTGGCAAAATGGTGCTTGCCATAGATTTTTTACATATACAGTAGCTCCATTTTGATGTTAGTCTGATTTAGCATGGCATCGATGACTTTCAAGATTGTGCTGAGGGCAGGGTCCAAAGGAGGAAGCATCTGAGATGCGATGTTTGTTTTGGAATAGTTGGTTGATTTGTTTTCATTCTGCGGATGTAAAAAGCTTTCGCTGAGAAGTGTACGATTAATCAAACAGATCCAAGGTCGAAGATAGGCCATTGGACATAATCTTTTGCTGTCACGATGATAAGGGGGTTCCATGCTTGTATTGGTCATGTAATATGGTTACCTCCTGTTTAATAATTGTGGCAATGGATAGCTTAGTAGTATCGCAGACAATATCATCCGTTTCAACCACTTCTAAGAAGGGGGGAGGTGATAATATTGTATTAGTTTCAATAATAGGGACGGGTGAATGTAATTGTTCTGATTTTGTGGGCGAGAACAGCGATGGTGGCGTGTCATTAAGCTTCGAAGCAGATGATATGCGCCCTGAGGGAGTTGATGGTGATTTGTCTGTGGCATGCTTTGGTGAGTTTTCTGTTTCAGTTAACAGATTGGATGTGTGTGGCAATGAATCATTAGAAAGTCGAATGGATGATTCTTCTTCAGATAAAGATTGAACTTTTAAGTATGAAGTTGATGATGATAAGTTTATAGGACGCTTTTTGGACGAAGTCAAAGCTGACGATGTTTCAATTTTGTTTGCGACCTCTGTCAATCGACATTATTTTGTTGCAAAGCAGTGGCATGTTTGCCCCAAAAATAACTGTTGATGACGTCCTTATTCACGTTTCTCAGCTGTTTCTTGGCTTGTGGCACTTCTTTCATTATCTTGGTGTTGATAAAAACATTGGCAAGTCTATCAAGGTCTTCGTCCATGTATGGAATGAATGCTTGCTGGTGAACCGCCTGCGAGAAAGGCTCTCGTAATAGGATGTAATGTTCCAGTCGGTGCATATATTCGATTTCCAATATTCTACGAGGGAAAAAGAGCAGGAGATTATTTGCTTGATTTTTTTTTTTAACTTTGGTTTTATGAAGTGAGTGAAATGTCATAATTAACAAGGCTGTCCTTCAAATGGAGCCATATAATCTCATGATCATCGTTCTTTTTTAGCCAATAAACAGGAAAAAAAAGGGGGGAAACACTGCATACACCAGAAAACACACCAGAAGTTAGACTAATTCTACAAGCGCTACCTCTACCCATCGCCTATGATGTCGTCCAACAAAACCTTTGAATGTGTGGCGTCGCGCTAAGCATGGCTTTATAAAGCTACCGACTTGTTTTGTTGCTTTTCAAGAAGAAGAAGAGATAAAAAAAATGTTGTTATTTATTTATTTATTTTATTTTTATGTTGTCAGTTTGATCAATTACGTGTAATTAAGATAAATTCGTATTTACATTATTTGGCCTCTTATTTGGTGTATTTTATGATGCATGCAGTGTTAGAAAAAAAAAATTTAGCCTCACAACATCCTTGACGACATCTTTAACGTGTTACTGTTTATCTGATGCTTGATCAGTTTTACAGTAAACATCTACCCCATAGCGGAGAAATTTCGAGGGCCTTTGTACGTATGTCCAACACATTTGAAGTGGAAGTAAACTGATGCACTAACATGGACATTTTGGGGCATTTCTTGCTAGTACGTAAGGCACAAATATCAAAGTGTGACAATGGTTGCTTATTTACTCTTTTTTATTCTTAATTGAGGAACTACAATATTAACAATGACTTCTCTCAAAACTCTTAAAGTCACAGTAAAATACATTTTACAAGCGTATTAGCTTTTTCTTTAAAAAAAAAAAGACATTGACATACATTTCTTGTTCACAAATATGCTTCAACTCATTCTTCAGCACAAGTCATTTATAGCTTATTCAGTCAGCCCCTTTTGGACATAAGAGTGTTCAATAAAACCCTTTGTCCGAGGACTTCTTCCACAAAGCATTCACTATGATAATGCCTAGAACATCTCCAGTTATATTTGATATTAATGCTTAGGTAATGAAAATGGTCCTATCATCATATATGAAAAACTTTAGAAATATATGCCTATCAAAGGAAGAATGGCAGCATTCACACTTTACTCTCCATTAAAGATTTTAGCTCGTTCAAGATCGAACGTAAGCAAGAGTTTATTTGACATTAGTGCTTTGGAGTATATTCCTGAATCATTCTTTCCCATTTAACCTTCTCTTCTGCAAGAAGAGATACACCTTCAGAGTCAGTATAAAACATGAAGTAAGCAGTAAAAGGCTTGTTGACAACTGCACCCTTGGTGGTACACTGTTCGGCTGGTGGAGCAACGCCTTCAAGGGTATTGAGACGTACGATATGTTTGGCATGGGACAAGTAGCCGTCCAATGAATGTCGAGTAACACCCACGAGATGATCATCCAAGTGCTTACCATCTCCTCTTTCATTGCGTCCCTTTTCCATAGAGGTTGTAGCAAGAGGTCTAGCAGTACCAGCCCATGACCCATCGGGATAATAGTAGATGACTGGAATAGTATCCAGTGGGTTAGCCCTAGATGCTTTATATTAGAACAATAATGGGCAATGTCATCAAAAAGTCTTACATTTGGTTGTTGGGGTCAAGAGGGGCAACGCTCAGCTGACCAATTTCTTTGCCAGGAGTGTCAAATGGCTGCTGCAATCCCTTTGTGGGATAAAGGAAAGCGTGTGTTTGAACGGCATACCAGTGTTGAAAGCCCTTCTTTTCTGGGTTACATTGATATATTCTGTTTCCCTTTGCATACCAGACATCATAAAGAGCCGAGCCCTCAGGTGGTAACAATTGTGCCTTAATATCAGCATGAGTAGGCGCAGCTGAACCAAGTTCAGGAATAAGGTCAGCCAAAGCAAGTTGGGAAGCAGCCAAGAGTAAAGTAGCAGCAGAAAGGAGCAATTTCATAATTGTTGATAAAAGGAAAGAGAGGAAAAATACTCTAGCTTATATATACGCACTTCCTTTCTACATTTTTCACTTTATTTATTTGCAGAGCATTTTTACGCATTCTTTTATCAAATAAAGCCCATACCTTAATGCTTATTAACTTAATTTTTAGATTTATTCTATAATAGTCTCCGGTCTTTAATTACCTATGGCTTGCAAAATGAATAATTTTAGATACGCGGTATGAACAAACTGAACGAACCATTTGCATTGTGCTGCACAACATTAAAAATTAAAATTAATATAAAATAATCAGCAAATCTTCTCCATGATTCGACCCAACTTAGCTTCTTAGTAGCTTAATAAACAGCTTCACTGTTCTGCATAGACTGAATCAACTGTTTTGGGGGCTATTAATCAAGCGAATACGAAGAATGTCTTGATGATTATAAATTGTTCAAAGCAACCTACAAGTGCCATTGGCTTATATGTGAATAAAAGACCTTTTATTATGCTTTTATACAACCTTACTTTACAAAGTCATTATTTTTAATGGCTTTACTTTGCCTGTGTATGTTATTGCATTATTTGCTCCGATTAAAAATTCCAAGCTCTGTCGTTTGGCTATTTGGTTTTACGCTAAAATTAGACGATGTTAATTTTTCTTCTGGACGTATTTGGAATAAATTGTAGACAACATACTTACCTTTTTTGGACGTAACGTAAATGGAAGTTTAGAAGAAGGACAATAAATCTTTAGATGGGTGAGAAAAGAACGCATAGTAGAATAAATAAAATAGTTTACACAAAAGGCATGGTGCGAGTAGCGCTATAAGGAGTGTCATCAAGTTGAAGTTTTGCTTTTTCTTTCTTCCAGTCGCTGCTTGTTCATTTGTATTATATGAAATAAGGGCTATTCAGGAAACGCATGTATTCTTTTTTCCTTTTGTCTCGCTTCCTCTTGCTGTGGCTTTGTACTATTTCAAAGAAAAGTTGACCACATTTATCTAATCTGCCTTTTTCCCCTTTTCTTATCAATGTTATTACCCTTAGCACGCACGACCTTAAAAAATAAACTTAACGAAAAGCTGCAAAAGCAAAGTATGATCCTCCTTA